GGCCTCAGCATGGATGTATAAAAGGAGGAATTCATGCTCCTTGCCCATGGAATCCTCCTTCGATACATTCACACGATGCAGCCATACTGCAGCTCCAACCGCATAATCCTTGCTAGGCGTTAGACGAAATGCGACAAATAAGATGGGCAACCTCGTAATGCGAGTAGTAAAAATGCTTTCCTCAAAAGTGAATAAATGCTCTCTTTTCGTAACCACTATTTGTCGTTCTGATCGAAATCCTACTGTTATATGTTTAGATAATCTTTACGCATTGGACATTGCAGAAATTATTTTGTGACATTCATGTTTTTGTTCATTTACAAAACAAAATCTGCGGTTATGTGGTGAGGCGGCGGCGCCCACAAAATCGCGTCCGTCCCACGCGACCGAAAAGTGGAAAAGGGGCGTCGTCGTGAATGTGTTAATTGACTACACCGCGGAAGTAGGCGCTTCGTAGCATGGTAGAACCGAGCGACGCATGCTCTTTGCACTCATAATTTTGCCCCTTGAAAAACACATTTACAACTATTAGGTTGTCTCATAAGTAGTGTCGCTTTTTTTCAACCAAAAAATTTTCATCTAAATCCCCATGCTTTTACATCGAATATACCATTCGAAAGAGAATTGTCTGCTCTACAAGATGCTATGTTCTCTTCCACTCTGTTCCAGGGTTTTCAAATTTTAGGCCTGCGAAATGGGAGGTCCAGCCGACAAAAATTGACCAAACCGACAACTATCTCTAACTTTATCTTCCCTTGGGAGAAATCAATCAATGATGTACCCTCTACTTATACATGACCTCTTCTGAACATTACACTATTAGGTTTCCCAACAAGTCGCGTCGTTCCATTTCCAGACCTGGTTTTTCAACCAGAACTCGACGGTCGAGCACCATTACCTGAGATCTAGGTCGAAATTTTTTATAGCCGAGACATTGAAAAACTGGTAGAATTTAAAGAACAAGTCATGACTATGTTAGGAATGTACGCCTGGTTGATTTTCTCATCTTCTCAGGAATAATTTTTTTCAAAGAAATGCGGTCACTTTCGTGGATAAAACACCTTATTCCTAAACACCTAAAATTCGAACTAATTCCCAACAAACATAAAACAAAACAAATGAGCGAATAGAGCAGAAGAAGTGCTCACAAAAGGAACACTCGATATGAAACAATGACGTTTACGAGGAACAATTTTAATTTGAAAATTGCTATGGCTTATCCGTCAGCCAATTCGAAAAGAAAACACGGCAAAGCTTTTTCGGCAACCTAAGGGTGGAATGTTCAGAAGAGGTCATGAGTAAGTAGAGGGTACATCATTGATTGATTTCTCCCAGGGAAAATAAAGTTAGAGCTAGTTGTCGGTTTGGTCAATTTTTGTCGGCTGGACCTCCCATTTCGCAGACCTAAAATTTGAAAACCCTGGAACAGAGGAAGAGGAACACATAGCATCTTGTAGAGCAGACGATTCTCTTTCGAATGGTGTATGAATATTGTGAAACCTTGAGGATTTACGAGAAAACTTTTTGTTTGAAAAAAAAAACACACTACTTACAATACCGCTCACAGAATGTGAAAAAATGACGGTGATTGACAGTCGCGACCTATCAAAGACCGTCGCACTACCATAACTCCGCTGAAAGCGAATGAAACGGAAAAATTCAAACTCCTATAGATACGTCTCCACACAACGAGTTCCAGGATGTGTTATAGGTCGGGACCGGTTAAGTAGGTCACCAGCTTCAGAGCTAATTATGTAAGAACCGCTTTGCTGCATTCCAATAAACAACAAAGTTGTTGCGCAGTTACATACCTAGTTCAAGATCTTGTAGCCGTTTCGTCGTATTTCCTCCAGACTTTGATGAAATACGCTTTCAAAATTTGGAAATGTCGTAAAATTGAAGAGCTCGTTCGCATCGGGAACGACTGTGAAACATGGATAAAAATGCATCAAAAAAGGAGGAGTGTGCGAGCGGTAGACTACTGTGCACATAAACATGGGATCTAACGAATGGTGTTCTACCTTGAGGTCAGAATTGGATTTTGCCCAGCTTAAAAGGTAAAGCTGGTGACCTACTTAACCGAATCCCGACCTATAACAACACATCTGAACTCGTTGTGAGGAGACGTATCTATAGGAGTTTAAATTTTTCCGTTTCATTCGCTTTCAGCGGAGTTATGGTAGTGCGACGGTCTTTGATAGGTGCGACGGTCAATCACCGTCATTTTTTCACATTCTGTGAGCGGTATTGTAGAGGTAGAGTGATCAAGTTGGAGGAGCCATCCATATAGCCTATCTTATCCGTAGTACTAGAGAGCAGTTCTTTGGGCTATCGAACACTACGGATAAGATAATAAGTGAACGACTCATTTCGAGCGTACTTTTGATAAGGACGGTGGATGTCCTACATTCCACACTACCTGCCCACATCCCATCCACTTTTCTGCACAGGTGATCCACCCTGGAGCTCCTGCACCCTTAGCCCTTTGCGGAGGTGTCCTTTCTCCTGGTCCAGGACCGTTCCCTTGGGTCATGGCAGGCGGAAATGTGAAAACGTTTCAGGGTTTCTCACCCATTACACCAATATTTATCAGAAGTCTACTTTAAAGGAATCTTGCGCGGAAAATTCTTGCACTCTTTCCTAACATGAATATGTCAGTTGTGATCACTGGAAATAGCACACAAAGTTTCACGCATGAAGATTCGGTTTCTGAAGAGAAACAAACGTACAAAAACTACACGTTATGGACCATCGAAGGACCAGGAGGCAGAGCCAGGCGAGGCATGGAAAGAAGACGGCGTTTGGCCGGCTACGTACCAGGCGACGCAATGAGAGAATCGGGTTAAAGCGCGCGATTTCGGAGAGTGGAGACAAATCGATCGATGGAATAGGATGGAGTAGAAGTGTAAGATGTGAATGCAACGAAGCAGAAGGCCAGAAAGAGCTTCTAGTGAATGCACTCCAAGAACCAAGTTTGAGCATCCCCGTCGCCAGCATTCGTGAAAGACGTCCGTGGGCAATTCGAACGCGTAGCAGCCTTTTCGAGTTTTCGAATTTCTAATCAAAACGAAAGCAATACTTCAGTTCTTTTCACTATTATCGTGGATAATGAGTCTCAAGCCAGTGATTTATGGCTGAAATAGAATCATGATTTTTCCGCGCAAGATTCCTTTAATGAGCCCTCTAACCTTATTTGGGTATTTAGAAAAAATGGAGTGCCCCCCCCCCCGAACTGGAGTTTCACCGAGGCTACCTAATGTGTTGAAGACATTCTAGTATCTGAGAATTTCGCATTTACAACTTCCGAAGTTCAGCAATGGCAGCGCGGTTGCTAATCTCTCTTTGCTTTCCTACTTCATGAAAGGCCCCAAATGGCAGCTAGTCATTAGGTTTAAGTCTTCAGGCTTTTTGATCCGCCCCCCTTTTTCCAATGGTTCTTCTTATTCCACAATGAAGCAAAAATATATTACATGCTTGAAAATACATGTGCACATAGATCTGAAGCAATTGCTGCTCACCATACATGCGACATGTACATTAAGGTTTTAGTTAGCGCATGGTTATTACTTGCAAAAAACCTTCCCTAATGGAGCCATGAAAAAGCAAGCTTGGCTCATAACTGCACACTGCCTTATTGATAGGCCGGTCGCTCGATGAAACATGGGCACGATTGTGCGTGAATGTACAAATGTGTTTTCATTCAGGGGCAAATAATTCCCGCAGTAATTCGATTACTTACCGGTTAGGGCAATAGTTTCGATTCAAACGAACAACTTACTTTTGTGGAGTCAGATGATAATATCCATCAGCAAAGTGAGCATCTTCAAACCTCATGTGAGGTTCGCTGTGTAAGACAGAGGAAAGATGCAGCCTGACTGACTTCACTACCTTTCCTCTGCTTTGGGCGCATATGGGGAGATTACAGGGGCGATCGCAAGGACGCAAGTAGCGTCGTTAGACTAAACGCAGCCGCAAATGAAGGCGATTAATTACGCCGTTGCTAGCCTTAACACTTATGCGCCCCCCCCCCCTCCTCAAGTCGAAATTCGGTGAACCATTCAGAAAACAATCCATGTCCAACATATCAGACAAAACATGTCAATTTTCAATCTGAAGCTTACTATGAGTTGGTAGCTTTAAGTCCTTTCATTTTTGACATTTTTCTACATTTGTTTTTACGAAGCTGCGCAAGCCACGGTAGCCAAAGCGGATGTTTTTTAGGTCTACTACTTTTTTTCTACTCCCCTAAGCAGAGTTGTGATCCGCCACAAGCCAGCTCTTTATTCCGATATTTTCAGCTACACAAAATTGACGTATCTGAAGATCATAGATCGTGAAAGTCTCTCTGGTGAACAAGGCCTCTGGTACTTTGTATCTAAAGTAAAATAGACAGTCATCCGGCAAGGTCTGCCAGAGTAGGCTACTAATAGTGAGATTATCCCATTTCCATTCCTGTCAGTGTTCTTTTTGCCATCATATCAAATTTGCTGGGAGCTGGGTGCCTGCGAAATAGCGGAAGAAAACCACCTTTCAGCGATCTTTGGGAAGTACTCGTTGTCTTGAAAGCAAGTGACGACAAAAAGTGTGAGATTGTATGAGCAGGGGAGGGGGTATATGAGCTATACTCGTAGCGCTGCCAAGAAAGCAAGGTGCACGACGAACACTTTGGTTACTGAGCAGTACTCGAGCAGGGCCGAACGTCCGTTCAGACTCTTTGAACGAGGTGGTCGCTTTTGTGATTTCGGAAACGGGGCTCGCATTTGAGGGTTGAGCGAGATTAACGATGTTTGGAGAAGTACGAATGAAGTTCGTTAAAAGGGGTACCATTGGGCGGTTTTTAAGTTTTGGGAAAGTATTGTGAATGAACTAAAGAATCAACAATTCCCTAATATATTCGCCTCATTTCTCATTCATGTGGTTGTATTCTTTTCTAAAAGGCAAAAACGAACTCAAAAATATAGCTTTATATGTGTGAGCAAAACACAATGACCACACTCAATTCAGTAGATGAATCGCTCATCAATCAGCTTCACGGATTCCTCTTCTTGAAGTGTGTGCAGGGCCGAGCGGACGCGGGAGATCTTAGCTTCGGGCATTTGCTAAATTCGTAGATTGGATATCCGAGGACAAAAACGCCAGTAGTGGTGTTATCGTACCTCGAACTGATCGAGCAGAATCATCGTTGGACTACTGTCGTCTGAACAAATCGAAATCAGCTCAATCATGTGAGAACAACCCAGCTCCTGAAAATGAACAGAATTCCGTACGAAACACGAACGTTTCGACATAGCCATAGAAAATGATGTAAGAGATTTTTAACGTCTCATAAGTGCAACAATGGTACATTAGATTTCAGTTTACTACTCTCCTGTAAACTAAGAGCTAAGCAATTGCAAAAGCATCCAATGATTGTCCACAGCAACTCAGGTGAATCCTGTAGTCTCATCACCCACCCTTATGTGCTAAACAGGAGCACCTGATCCACCCCACTCAGCAATGTTAGTCTGAAGACAAGTTCCTCTGTAGCCGAGATGGGCAGTTGAAGGCAGGGTCAACAGTCCGTTGCCGAACCCCGACGAGGGAGGGGTCGTATTTGAGTTTTGAGACGGTCGTATTTGGCTTTCGTGTGTTGATGATGGTGAAAAGATGGGTCGTAAACGAGATTTCCTGAGGGAGTCATAGGGAAAGTCATAGGGGGAAATTGGGAGTCGTGTTGCAGTGGGGGCAACAGAAGGTCGTTTTCACCGGGCTTCTCGGCGATTTTGGCGAGAACTCGAGAAAAGGAGCGCGAGATAGTCGAAATTATAGCATTTTCTATTTGTTTCGACCAGTCTACCAATCCCTAACAGCCCCCATCCCTGCTGTTCGAGATCCGATTACAGACGAGAAAACGTGGCGAACATTCGAGAAGAACGAGAAGTGAGGGGTAGTTGGTTTGTCTCGACATAAAAGATGATCAATTTATAGAAACAGCACTTTGTGGTGAGCAGGTGCTGTGGGGTAGAGGCTAGGCTGTGGAGTTCGTCCGAGAGACTGCCCTAAGAGGTGGCCTGATGCGCTGGCGTGATGCAATACCGGAGCACCTTTTGTGGTCGTGCATCAGAAACGGCGAACGGTGGACCCGTTGCGCCTTCACGCACAAGGTGCGTGAGCCGGAGTGTGAGTGGATCCTGCTAACGTCAAACAACACTAACGTCGCTGCCATATCCGCTCGGAGAGTGAAATTACCACTCTTTCGATAACGGGTTCAAAAAATTGCGCAAGTTCAAGGGCAACAGTGATTCTGAATGGAAGACAAACGGATGAAGACCTAGTCGTTTGACTCTTGAAAAATTTTTTCGGGTTCCCGCGACTGATTTATAGCTTAAATTAGTATAGCAGCCGTCCATGAGATTTAAAGGAGGAATTCACGATTAGAATGAAGGTCGAAGAAAGGGAAACTGACCTAGTTGAGGGACCCACGGACCTCCTGAGGGTGCGAACTGACGCGCAATTCGCATGGAAAAATTTGACCTCGGCGACCTATCATGCCTCAAAGCTGGCGGGTCCGGCGATCTCCGCCCACCGATCATCTGATCACTCGCCGTAGTTCAATACGTGGCGAGTGATTAGATAGCTGAGAGAGCGTAGTGTTGAAGAGGGCACAGCGATGAGAGTCGCATCAATGCTCAAATCAACGGGCAAGGAAGGGGTCCCATTTCTCGGGTTCTGGGCCGTTTCTCATGGTTTTCCTTCTTTCGTGTACCACTCACCATCCCTAGGTTAATTTGAAATGGGTTGCTTTTTCATCGTGAATTCGTCCTTTAAATTGACTCTTGCGCAGGTCACAAAAAATGTTAATGCACCTAAATACTCCAGTCAGATAGTCTAATGATATCAAACTAACTTTGGTACAATTGAGTATGTTACGCCACACTTATGTTGCGGAGTCGTCATTGCGGACTTACTTGGGTTCGAGGTTCAAAGTGTACGAATAGTAAAACGAACCGTAGCCAGCTGTTGCCACTTCGAGTTCTCGTCCATCAGCTTAGAAAGTCTCAATCGTGTCAAGTAGTCGAGGCAGGAAATATCATCTGAAATTATTCTAGCCCTAATTAACTCTCCTTTTGGATAGATGCATTCAACAGAACCGACGTACCTTGAGACATTTTACTATGCCGGGCGCTTCTTCGAGATCTATTTGCTGAGCTTGTGGACGGCTGATCATCCACATACTCGCCGTCGGAATCCAGACCAACGTCGCCTGACGCCCCTTCCTCTCGATCTGTGAATATGAGCATAATTTTCTTGAAATAACAGCGGCAAATTTTCCAAAACCGCATCATTCAAAGGAAGATACTATACTGACCATATGAAGTCTGTGATGTTAGATGCTCGCTTGGCGGCTGCGCCCTGGATGGAACGGATGACCGGTGTGGAGGCGGAGTGTCCACGTCAGGAGGTGCAGTCATACTTCCGTGAAGATTTGGTAGCGACCGGCCAAAGAGCGCCGAACGAGTTGTTGTCAGATCAGACGGTACTGGTGGAGGTACTTCTTTCTCCGGCAACTCAACTCTGAAAGTTTTGATGTCATTGACGCCAACGCAGCATTACCGTTTTTCAGGCTCTTGGAACGGTGATGTATGTAACGTAATTATTGCCGAAAAAACTTCTGACTCATGACTTTTTTCTGGACTGACAGCTGTCGGAATAGCAGTTTATCCCAATGAATTCAAAAGCCGTCCCACTGGTTAGTGGTTTTTGTTTTTATCGCCAAAGGACATGAGAATAACTGCGATGAGTCATTTTGTTGGATAAGAAAGATGCTGGGAAGAAGGCATAATATAAAGTGGTCATTCTGCAAAAAAAATCAGTTGAAGGTTATGAAGCGTCAAAGCTCATTGTGAATGCTAAATTAGAAGAACTTGCTGAGAATGGTTAGATTTCGAATTAATGCGGTTGGAAAAAAAGCTTGGATTGCAACTAAAATATGTAGATTAAGCGATACTATGATTTGAGCCGCAAAACCGGCAAATGCTCAGAGCAAATTCACGTCCACAGAATGGGCAGAGTCACTAAAACCATCGCGACCTCCTTATCATTGTGACCATCTCCTGGTGAAATTTTGTAAGGAGGGATCTACGGGAGAGCGGTGGCTGAATATTTCTTCAAACTGCATTCGACTAATTATGGTGTTATTCTTCTGCCAACGAGGTTGTTAGGTGGTGACTTATGGGGCGCTGACGTATGACGTCGTCTTCCTCAAGCCTTGAACAAGGCTGCAAGGTTAGTTAATTCGCTTAACAGAAGGTCCAAACGCTTCCTCTCCCCTAGCGTTTCTGACGGAACGTTAGGGGGAACAAGGCGAAAACCTCCGAACGAGGGAAATAAACTCACCCAGTCCACCAGCACAAGAGTAGGACAGCGCCACTCCAGTTATAATTAATTAATTACCCTATTTTCCGGTGTATAAGCCCCCGCTAGTATCATGTAAAAACACCTCCACTGGTGCAGTGTACTTGAGTACATCTAGAGTCAACCGTAACATGCCCATAGGGGTAATTCGATATGCTGATCACGAAAACGACATTCGTTTTTAGCGGTGGCGGCATCTGGCGCCAGTTGGCGCCACCTTGTCACGACCCTTGTTTTCGCCAAAATCGGTGTAAACTTCAGTATAGGGGTTATTTGGGACCCTGATTACGAATATGACATTCGTTTTTGGCGTTAACGTTGTTTAGTGCACATGTCTCGGTTGGAGAGCGCAGACGAGCAGAAAATAGGCGTCAAACAGCGCCAGCGCCTATAATGAATGTCATATTCGTAATCAGGTCCCAAATAACCCCTATACTGAAGTTTACACCGATTTTGACGAAAACAAGGGTCGTGACAAGGTGGCGCCAACTGGCGCCAGATGGCGCCAGCGCTGAAAATGAAAGTCATTTTCGTGATCAGGGCATCGACTTACCTCTATAGGCAAATTTGCGGTGGTTTCTAAGGTGTACAAAGTTACACTGCACGAGCGGGGGTGGTTTTACGTGAAATCGGCGCGGGCTTATACACCGGAAATTAGGGTAATTTATTTATTTCAATACACTCAAAGGTGTGCCTAATAAAAAAAGGGAATAATAAGTATGAAAGCAGCGAGATATAAACAGCTACACTTGGGGCTCACCATTTGGCTTTAAAAAAAGCGGGATAGCGAAGATATTAGATGTGTTGTGCCGTCCTGGATGAGGTGGCAGAAAGGATATTGCAGAATTCAAGTCAGTTAACGAGGTCGCCAGGCGATATACAGGGGGGGGCAAAAAAAAAAGACATTTTGCCTATGTCGCACTTCGGCCTTTTTTCTTCGCAGAGATTGCCGTCGTTGACGGGAGTTCCTCAGCAAGTATTCCCTAAATGTCCCTCTATAAGTAACGCAGGCCCTCCTTCACTGCCCTCACCGTCTTCAGAATATGACGTCATCTGTCACCGTCGTCAGGCTCAAGGAGGTCTACCGTAACTGCTTCAGCCTGAAGCTCTTACGCAATTTCGTGAATCGATTTAATGTTGGATAGTTTTCTAGAGGCATTAGCTCCCACTATGCAAATCCCCTCGAAACTAGCTTTCCAGTAAAGGTCGTTATGGTACACGATCCTTCGAAGACCCCATTGAGCTCGACCAGTGCACCATGTTTCCAGGGCAAATTCTTCTGATGCCGTCCACGTAGGTGGCCACTATGAAGATTTTCTTATAGAATGAAATGCGCTCTTCAATAATAAGTTGGAACCATTCGGTCTGAATTGAGCAAAGTGTGCTTAAATCCATCTGAAAGTGGAGACAAAATGTCTTTTTTATTGGCCCCCCCTGTATATATATGCATATTTTTTGTTGATCATTAACTATTAATGATCACTAACTGAGACTTACTGTGCAGTCTTTGTATAAAGGCAATACTTCGACCTGCACGTCTCAGTGTTTACATCAGTAGCTCACAATGTGGCGCAAACGACAAGAAATCATTTGTGGAGGATAGGCACTCATAGCGGTTATTCATTCTGGGATTCCGCGCGTGAATCCAGAATGCCTCAAGCGCTTTCCTAGCGGAAATCTCAGTCTCGTATGCTAGGATTTTGCACTTTACATCAAAGTCATTTCCGTGATTATTTTCATTTTCGTGATCTTGTGGTGGTGGACTGGGTGAGTTTATTTCCTTCGGAATTTTCGCTTGTTCCCCCTAACGTTCCGTCAGAAACGCTAGGGAGAGGAGGCGTTTGGCGGTTTAAAGGACATATCTCAAACCTTGAGCCACGTTCAGGCCTTTGAGGAAGACGATCTCGTCGAAACGTCAGGCCACTAAATAAAGTTCCACCTAACAACCTCGTTGGCAGAAGAATAACATATAATTACAACAATGCCGAGGTTCTACGAAGAGAGAAGTTGGAATCTGCATTCGACTAAATTATTTCAGATGGTCCAGCAATACGACGAGGTCATAACTGAAATAGCTATCTCTTTCTGTTCACTATATAAACTACAACAT